TGCACTGGACAGATACAAGGATTAGAGTCAGTGTTTTCTCTGATGCACTATGTTTTCACAGAAATACATTTAAGAAATAAGCCCCTGCTCAAACTTTTTTCTTTTCCTAAAAAATCTATATCCTTAGCAGTATTTTAATTGTTTTCCCTGAAACCCAAACATTCAATTTCAGTTTCCTACCCTTTTCTCATTGAATGTTAAAAGAGAAACATTTTCAGTAAATCGGGACTAGTGTTGCATTTCTTCAAATAGGCATATTACTGGATTTTTTATTATTTTTTTTAACAGGAGTGTGTTTTACCTATTCTATCTCATTAGAAGGAAAACTAACATCAGCACAGCAAAAATGAATGCTACTGCATATTGCCTTTCATCACACTTTAATTAAAGTGGCATTTGTTTGTCCTATAATATCACCATTCCCTAATCGATGTACTGAGCAAGCACCATGGTGACAAGATAAGTTGCTTTGTTTTGTTCCATATGTCTGTGTTCCAAATTTTCCATAGTTTTAATTGGTTCCCTGCAGAATAACATTTACAAGCATATGGTATGGAAAATGCTGACTGCATTTGTTATCATAGATTTTAGTACGTTGGTGGCACTAGATCACTAAGCTTTTAAATGTGATTATGAGGTTATTTAATGCAGTCAATAGTGTGCTTAAAACACAGCAAAAATCTGCAGTGAGCCAAATGGTATCAAGGAAATATGTTTGAATGCTTTCTTAATGCTTCAAGGGTGGATGGGGAAGTCTGATTCAGAAAAGGTTTTCAATAAGGTTTCTGCTGAAATGTGCTTTGTCACCTAAGAACAATTTAGAAAGGTCTGTGGAGGCTGCCTGCCATCACAAGAAGAATGTATGTAGGAACATGAAATGCAAAAAAGTCAAAATACATAATATATCAAAGATTATCGACTTCTGAAGAAATGCACCAACTTTAGCTGATAAAATGGAAGGATCAGCCCTCAAATTTCATGTGTCTGACATTTGAGACATCAGCACTACATTTTTATACTGATTCTGTTCTGGCAGAATATGGCCACACAACTGACTGAGGAGAACACAGCTGATGTGATGGAACACAACTGACTGAGGAGACCCCAGTCATCTCAGCATGGGTCAAGATCTGTGTTCAACAGTATTGACATAGGTGTTGGGTGATGCCTTTTTGATCGTGTTGGCGTGGAGGGTGTCTTATGGTGGAGAACAACTGAACTGGGGTTCTTGCTGAGGTAGATCAACCAAGGTAGTTTCAGACTGCTCCAGGAAGTGCTCAGTGGGTATTTGTTATTAACGACCTTTTTGGATTTCATGAGCAGACTGGAGACTCAGACACAGCCCAAATGATCCGGGAAAGAGGGTTACTCAATGCATGGAGATTTCTGATGTATAGATTACGTCCTTTGCATATGGATTAAAGAGGTACCACATCCCTTCAGTCCCTAGCCTCACCCCAGCCTATCTTATGAAAAAAATGATTTCCAAATATCTACTGGTTTAATGTCATCCATGTAAAAAAGAGTATTAGACATTAAAGGTGCAGAGGTTCTAAGTTTATTAGTGAGTAGACATATGCTGAAAAGCATATGAATTTAAAAGTAGTACAAGGATATAATTCGGCATTTTCTCATGCTCATATGCAAGAGAATGGCTCTGATATTAGTATTATGGTGATGGCAGTTCAGGGATGTAAACAGTATAGACATAGAATTACTGTATGAGAAAAAAGGCAGTGCCTTCTCATAGTGGAGCATGTTGTTTCTATTCTCATAACATCCCAAATAAAAAAATTGATTGGTTTTATATAATCAAGTTTAATTCTGAGTGTTCATTTCTTAGTGGACTGTCATTTCATGAACAAGTGCAATGTTGCAAGGTAACTTTTAATCTGTGCTCAGCTTCTGCTGCAGATCAACCAAACATCTCTCTTTCACAAAGGTACTTGGACCTAAATGTGTTACAGTAATAGAATTCCCTTACAGAAAAATAGAAAAGAGTTTTTGGAAAAATTCTTTGCAGCAGGTGTAGAGGACAACAGAAGAGTAATTGTTAATTGATTTCTGATTTTCAGTGTGGAAAAATGAAATGGAGACTAAAATAATACTAAACTAAAAAAAAAAACCAAACCCAAAACCCAAATAAACCAAACCTGCATCTTTTCTGAGCCAATGTTAGAATCATAGAACAGTTAAGGTTGGAAAGGACCTTAAGATTATCTAGTTCCAACCCCCAGCCATAGACAGGGACACCACACACGAAACTATGTTGCCCAAGGCTCTGTCCAGCCTGGCCTTGAACACTGCCAGGGATGGAGCATTTACAACTTCCTTGGGCAACCCATTCCAGTGCCTCACCACCCTCACAGTAAAGAAATTCTTCCTTATATTTAACCTGAACTACCCCTGTTTAAGTTTAAACCCATTACCCCTTGTCCTACCACTAGAGTCCCTAATGAAGAGTCCCTCCCCAGCATCCTTGTAGGCCCCCTTCAGATATTGGAAGGCTGCTATGAGGTCTCCACGCAGCCTTCTCTTCTCCAGGCTGAACAGCCCCAACTTTCTCAGCCTGTCTTCATAAGGGAGGTGCTCCAGTCCTCTTATCATCCTCATGGCCTTCCTCTGGACTTGCTCCAACAGCTTGCTCCACATCTTACCAGAGTGGGTGAAAAGCCAAATACATTTTAGAATTATGGTATGATAAAAACCTGTTGAATAAGAAAGGCAAAATTGAAAGTGACTTTGTCCTGCTGATATCTCTTCCAGATACGATTCTCTCTCAGATGAAGGTGTGTAATACAGTTTAGGATAAGTCACTGATGGGAAGATGGTGCATGGACTACTTGTTTGTCTTGAATCATGCAAAATTTAGTTCATGGTGAAGAGGAGATAGAAGTTGACAGAAGATTTGAAACAAAATAAAAATATAGCTGTGCATAATACTTGTATTTGAGTGCAGTGAGGTCACAAATATTATCTCTATCAAAAAAGGAAAAATGGAGTAAAACCTCCTTATATATTGCGCATATAAACACAGAAAATTCAGTCTCATTATATGCTTACTAATTATATTTCTGCTGGACTGTTTGTTCACTTCAGAGTTGCTGTTCAGCTTTGTGCATGTCAACTAAGGACTACACTGATTTAAGAAACATGAAGTTCAGTTCTAAAGGCTCCTGTACAGCTTGGTGTTCATGTGCCATCTAACACTTGGTAGATTTATTTATCCACTACAAGTTTTCTTTGCTCTCTGTAATTCATTCAACTTGTGCAGTGTTTGGTGTAGGGGATTATTGCTACCAGTCACCTCCTGACACACCATAGAACTGATACAATTAATATGATGGAGGCATTCTTCTCCTCAAGTAAACATGCTCCCTTGCTTTTAACTTGTTTGTTTTTAACCTTAAGGGACATCTCGATCTTGTAGTAAGCCAAACAATTCCTAAAGGAGATAAATGCTATCCTGTAAACTGATGGGCATCCCAATCTCACCCTTGCATGTTAAGTGGCAAGTGGGGAAGGAGAGGGAAGGGGAGTCATGTAACTTGAGCTGAAAATTCAAAAATTTGCTGTGATTGGATTTAGACACTAAAGATAACCTGGAATAGGAATATAACTTGTTCTTTGGTAGAGGTGAATTGCTGTATTCTGTATTCCTGATACTTGGTTATTAGGTGAGAGCACTAATCCTGCATAGAGCACATTAATTTGAATAACAAATGAGTTAATGCAGCATAAAAGGAAGAGGGGAACTTTGATCTTTACTTTAGTAACTTCTGTGATAGCAAATCCTATTGACAGACTTGAAGTACTGCTGATTCAAGCTTAAATAATCATTCTGCTGGGAACATTCTCCCTTTTCAGCCATATGAGTGTATCCTGTTTTGTCTTGGCAGGAAGAGCAGTGTGATATCTTTACTGAGCTTAAGGTCATTTAAATAAGGTTCCCCTCCTCACTTGTATCATAAATACTTAGCTTTTTTAATTCCATAGGAAAGAGCGTATTTATCATATATTTGTCTGGCTTAATGGGAGTTTTATTCTGATGTACCAGCAAAATTGGGATCAATTCATGTGATGCCAAAGTCATACTTCCAAAGTGTGTGTGAACTTGGGCATGTGAACTCGGGTGACCCCCATGTTCATGACCTTTTTTGAAAACCAGATGCCATTGGGTATGCCATAGACTGACACCCTATAATCCAGTAGAAGTGGTGTCTCAAAAGTTGGCCCTAAAGACAAAAATTTGGAGAAGTAAGAGAATGTGACCATGTAAAGCTTATAAAACGCTGTAGAAAATCAATGTCAATTCAATTAATGGAATAAATCTAATTTTAAAAGGAGCCAATAAGAATTTCATTGATGTTTTTAATTCTGTGGTGCCTCTTTTGACATTTAAATGGCATCTCTGCATTATTTGATTAATCAAAATACTCTTTTTTCAAATGAAAATTCTATATAGAAATCACTGTTCATTTTTAATTTTTGGAATGTAAGTGTATGTGTTCAGTTGGAGAGAAGGTTCTTCAAGAACAGGCAGAGCAGACTTACATGCAATTATATTCTGTAAAATTAATTAAAAGTGAAAAGAGAGTAAATGTTTTCAGTTAGTAGGAATTCTTAAGCATTGAGAAGTTTGGCTGCCAAATCAGAGCCTCTTGGTAATGCAGAAATATTGAACTGAATTCTCAGCAGCAGTAGCTGGCTGGACCAATTCTTGATGAGAAATGACTGGAAAAAAAGAACTTCTGTTTTGTGGAAATTTCAGGAACAATCTAGGGACAAGACTTCCTTGCCTGCCTGGCGTGCCAGAGAGTTAAGCTGCCTCATTTCCATTATTAATTTTGAAGGGTTAGCATGCTTCTATGGGACAGTGTGATTGAGAAAACAGCAGTTTTAAATAAAACTGTTGTAAGCAAACTTCTGACTCTTAAATGTGGCTTTTAATGTATTAAATCAGAAGACCACTACTGCTTGTTCAACAAGGCTATATTCCGATGGGAAGTGCAATCACCATCAGAAACGGGAGTGCAGGTAAGACTGGGTAAAATATGGGTATCAGTTAGGCCTCAGGTAAGTTCTTTATGCGTGACAACTAAGGTGCAAAGATCTTTTCCTAGCCTTTGTTATAGACTAGGTACAGTCTTTTAGCATTAGATCTTATTAAACACAAATATCAGGTGATATTTTTTGCCTATCCAACCATTTCTGGGGATGGCATTGAATTTTTGACCCTTCCATTTCTCTCTTATTTTGTAAGGCTGTGTCTCCCATACAAAAGCAGATGGTGTGGATTTAGAAAATTTACCTTTTATTCTATTATATTTTATTCTGCTAATAGTATTGATGTTTGCTGTAAAAGCCTGTTTTTAGATCCGTAAGTAAAGCAACATTCTACACTATAGACCCAACAGGTAATGATTAGAATATGCTACAGTTGAAATTTTCTCTATTAAATTCTGTTTTTTAGGGAAGAATCCACTATGTAACCATGTATTTTACAACTATTACAGTAAACTACAATATACATGAAAAATAGTATACTGCAGGGGCGGAAAAATATAATAGTTTTTCTCCTGGCCTCAAAAATAAGAGAAAACAAAGACTTATTAGCATAGAGACCTTTCTTTTTTTTTATTTTTTTTTTCCAGGCCAGTATAAAGCTTTCATGTGAAAAGACTTATGAAATATTGAACTAACTTGAACTTTGTATAATATCTTAAATTAACTTTGCATTGGCTTAAAGCCATTTCTTTGACAACAGAGAAGGATAATCAACTTAAAAGCCCTCGGGCCGATGGAAGTATAATACTGCCTGACACTAAAGGGCAAATGCAGGATATACTCCAAAATGACTACTCAATAAACTGTACTTCTGGATTGGAGGTACAATTCCAAAGCTATTGAGTAGATACAAAAATCCTCTCTCACATGAGTGAATGACTTAAAATCTCAGTTGCAGTATTTATTACTACCTTGTCCTGAGTCCAGGTAGTTAGGCTTTTTCCCCATGCATCTCCAGGAAACCTAAGTAAGTCTCTGCATCTGTGCACCCTTGTTAGTGCTTCAGGCACAGGGTTGGAAAAGCTTTCAGCATTGTATGTGACACTGTATTATTATGTGACTGTATCTTATTCTTTATTAATATGCTTCTGTTAAGCCATATAGCTCCTTCAAGATTTGCTATCCTTGAGAAGTGCTGTCCCATCCCTTGCAGCAAAATGCAGTAATTTCCTTGTAGCTGAATGACAGAATATCCAGTGAGATTTGAGGCAAAAAGAAAACAGTGGCTCAGAAAGCGAGACTGTGTGTGGCTGCTGTGGCGTGTGGTGAGTGTGTGTGTGCATGGGGGGATGTATGAAGGAGAGGGAAAAGCATTTTGTAGGGTTTTCTGTTTATACTAGAAAAAGTCTTGAGTATTTCTTGTCTTGCAAGATCATTTCAGCTTCTGTAATAACAGAAAAAAAAAAGAAGACACAATGTCATTTTTGACGGGGATGTTTTAATTTCATGAATCACTGTAGTGATATGGCCAGAGTTTGTGCAAACCTGATTGCCAGTCTGTGCAGTATGGATGAATTTGATGCTGTTTGATGCAGGTAAAAACCAATAAAAGGTTTTCTTGACTGCAGTTACGTACAGATGTAATTGCCATACTAATGCTTTTGTGTGATTGAAGACAACAAGATTGGGCAGATACAAGAACTTCTCCACTGTAAGTACCAGAATATCAGAAGAGATTTCTTACTAGATTGCAGAAACAGCTTGATGTTTATAAATCTATTTTAAGCATGATAAGTGAATGTTGATTTATGTAGGTCTGATCTGAATTAAGTTATCCTTACTGATCCCATGTGAGAACGACACATCATTTCTTTAATTCTTTTTATCCAAGGTATCCAGTGTTTATGCGTTTTATAACTTACCTTTAATCTCGCTAAACAAAACCCCATCAGCACTAAGAGAGATCAGTGGTTTCTTACATAATTTAATTTATGAGTTCCAGTTTCACCATCAGCATCTTACATTTTTTAATTTGTAGAGATATTTAGGGTTCATGGTTCCTCTCAGGTTTAACTGTGATAGCTGCAGGAAGTAATCACGTTTTGGACCTATTGCAGAGAATTTGTGGATATATAGCTTTATTTTCCTGATTGTGAGCTTCTCTGCTGGGGTCTTTGCTCGGAAAGACCTGGAAACAATCCAGACGCATCTGTGTGTCTGCTTTTCTCCTAGTGGGATGAATAGCAAGCAGCAGACTATGCAAACTAGCTGTATCTGAGATGATGAAAGAGGAAGCAATCTCAGAGCTAAAAGATAGACATTAAGCTTGGATGCCCTGGGAGGGCATACTTCAGGGTTGCTTTAATGGAGAGTATACCTTTTTGGAAGGTTATTATTAATAAGTAGTAGTAAGATACTAAAAAGCCATTCAGGGAGCTACACATGGTGAGAGGAAATGCTGGTGAAATCATGTATCTTGGACCTGCAAAAGGAAAAAAGAGTAAAACAATGCATACCAAATAGAAGAGCAGAGATCAGGAAAGGTGAAAGAAGTTATCACTGGTTTTAAAACAGCGTGTAGTGAGTGTCAGTGGAAGGTCTACCTTGTGCCTTGATACAGAAAAAATAGGTCACAGCAGTAGCTCATGCTGGTTTTATGTTGGTTTCTGGACCACACAAGCAGCAATAGAAGCTGAGGAGACAGATCCCTCAGCCTCAGAAGAGGTGATACAAACCTCCCCAACAGGGGAAACTTTCGCCGTAAGTCTGTCAGAGCTGAAGATGTCACTAAGGGTAGAGAATGCCATTTCTTTTATGTGCTTTTTGCAAACCGTTACCAGATGTGAGAATTTCAGGATAACCTACTTTTGTTCCAAATATACAAAAAAGGCAGCACATCACAAGGAAGACCTGTTTTATGCAATGTTCTGTGTCTATTATTATGGATAAGTTTGGATTTAAGCCCCGGAAGATGAAAACAGGTTGTTTCGAGGATTCTGTTGATCTTAAAATATAATTTTAGACAATATGAAAAGGTTATGTAAAATTTTATTCTATTATTCCTCTTAAAATAGCCTCAGATCTATCAGTACCATCCTTGCAAACTTTTGATTACTTTAGAAGTTGTAGTAAACAAAATTGTGGTTGTTCCCGAAGGAGTATCTCATGATTTTTATCCATGGATGGTTGTGTCTTTTTTGCCAGTGCTGATTATCTGAGGAAGTGATGTCATGGTGAAAGTACTGACTTCACAACTTCTAAGATGCTGCAAATAAAATTGAAGGTTAAAAATGCTGCTTTCTTAGTCCTGTGGTAGAATTGGTATATGACATCCATTTTTGCTTACATGAATGTTTGCAGTAGCATTCAATTTTTTATCACTACAGTTTGGCAGAGTTGATCTATTACCTGATGAACAGATCTCAAAATTGTTTGTCCAGCAGAGGATAAAACAGTATTTAACCTGCTCTCACTTGTATAACTGCAGACATCACTAAGATTTTGATAAATTGTCTGTGGTGTTGGTACAAGGAGGTCTTCTATGTTAAAATAGAATGGGGGAGATGCTATCTGGCTTTATAAATATATTGTCTGTGATTCTGGCATCCGATAAATACCCAGTTCAAATAATAAAGATGCTAGGAGTAGAAAATGTTGTCCATGTGAATAGGCTATGTGAATATGACCTGTATGTGGCACTGAATTATTTTAGTGATTATCACCGGGGGATGGAACAGTAAATATATACTGAGCTGTGTCAGGGATAGCATGTACCTGTTTATGACCAGATGTCCTTGGCTGGTCAGTTTTGTAGGTGGCAGTTCTCAGACTGTAGCTTCTGATCTATGCTTTGTAATTACATTTGTGTGCTTAGAGGAGTTGCTGCATAGCCAGATAGTTCTCTGTTTGTCCAGGTTTTGCCTGGGGTTAACTTCATCTCTAATGGGACAGCACATACTATGTGAATGAAAATAATAGGATGGTACTTCTAGCTGTGACAGGTGCAGATTGTCTGCAAGCCTGATCTGTTTCTCTCTATCTGATTCAAATTTCTGCTGTTTCCTAGAAATGTATAAGAGAATCATAGAATATCTTGACTAGGAAGGGACTGATAAGGATCATCCAATCCAGCTTTGGGAGAACAAATTACTTACATGGATAACAATATTGGATAAAAAAATGAAGGATTTAATTTAGGAAAGTAATAGCAAACATCTTGTGCTTTCTAGTAATAATTAAGAGTGACATTTTAGGTTGGTTTTGTTATGTTTTGCTCCCTTTATAAGTTTCCAGAACTACAGGAAGAATTAACTATCCAAATGTACTCTACAACTTTACTAATAAAAATTTATTTGATTATTAATAATTAATTTGGTAATACATGACTTTGTATTAGAAGGTGTATCTTCAAAAATAATGCTTTCGCACTTTTTTTTGATGAAGAAAATTCCTCAGACTGCTGAAACAAGCTGTGGACTATCACTTTTCTCTCTTGTCAGTGTATCTTACATCAGCAGAATGTGAAGCACAGGCTTACTTTGCTGTTCTGGCCAGTTTTGGCCCTGAAGCCTGTGAGATAGAAACTTGTATTACTTACTAAGACAGTTTACAGGTTGACTTTGTATACTAACATTAGTATAACAGCTGTCTTATTTTATTAGAAAAACCCCATCGAAGAACATTTTGCTAAAAAAATAAATAAATAAATAATGAGAGATTAAGGAATTAAATGGGGTAGTTGCATGCAAATGAACAGATTCTTTCTGAGGGAGAGGTAGAGTCATTAAAATAACCAACTGTAGCAGGTGAAGCAAAATATATCCTCCCTGGAGTGACCAGAGAAAGGTAGCGTGCAAGAGAAACCCCTGAACGCCTTCAGAAATCTGTTTTACATTCCTTTTCCTTTGGAAAAGAATTGGCAGTAAGTAGTAGGGTTACCTCGACCTCATGTTTGTCTTAGACATAAATATTCTGGAAGAAACCTGCAGTTGTTTGGAGTGATAGTATGTTAACAGCCTGACAAGAAATACGCTCTGTCATTGTTAGCCTGCTTACTGTCAGGCTAAAAACTCATCTTCATAACATCCATCTCAGAGTTCTTGTTAAGCTCTTCAGAACAGTCTAGGGACATGGCCTGTTCTTCCACAGCCTGTTCTGGTTCATATGTGTTGATGAAATTCTCGTGTGCTGGAGTTAAAAAAATCAGTCCGCAGATGGCTAGTTGACCTGTTTGGATTACAAAGAGATGTTCTCCAGAGCTTTCTTGCTCTGCTGTGTTCTCTTTCTGTTCTGCTCTACATAGCTATGCTTTTCTCATTTCTTCAGAAGTCAAGTGTTGGGTTCAGAAACTTTCAGCCTTCGAATTCTTCAATTTTTGTGTAATTTTTCTGTCCATGCTCCCTAATAAAGAGGGAGCAATCATGGCACATGCAAATGAGTGAAAGATGCTGGGTTGTTTGCTTGTATTTTAGAAATGTGAATTCTTCTTTTTGTTTTAGACAGCTGTTAAGACAAAGCATGATTTCCATCTTCGGTAGTTCTCTTCCCAAATTATTTTCTACAGATTTTAGAACTGCAGTATACCTGTGTAACAAAGCTACAGCTAATATGTGTTGCAAAAACAAGTGTGCAAATTTTAGTGCTTGAGAGAAAGAATTCTAAAGACAAGACAAAAATTTCTTACTTAATCCTAGAGGTGGGTGACTTTGTAGATTTTGTCATTTCATTCAGTTTCCTTCTTTTTCAGGGTTAAATTATTTGCCATGCAGTTATGATGAACTTAAAGAAAAAGACTTCTATACACTGAATAATACTAAAAAGGGATGAGCTTGTGAACTTTATTTTCATTCTTTAAGGTGGCAAATCAATCAGAAATGTGTGCTGCAGAAGAACAATATAACAAAAATATTCTGGAAAGAGGAAAATGTGTTGTATATGACAACACAACGTTTAACTTCATGTATTTGGTTTTGAAATATCTACCTTAGCATCAGTCAGATATATTTCTCAGAGTAAGAAGCTTAGCTCATTAAGATAAAATAAAATGGGAAATTTCTGTGCAGCTAGCTTGACATTAATGATGTGCACAAGAGAAAATTGCCAGCTTACATATGTGTGTACAATTATGAAGAAGGTTGACATTTCCCTGAAATAGTTTGCTTTAAGATAGTTGGTCTTGCTTGTGTTTGGAAGGCTCCTAATTTTATTAAATGCAGAACAGATGCAGTTCCCTTTGCTTGTGAGAACATCTCAAATCTCTCAGTGCTTCATGGAGTGTGTTTAGCTTCTGAAGAGTCAGGGTGGAAGCCACTTACTTTGTCTAGTTATTTCAGCCGAGCTAAGCAAAAAGGGAAAATTAAAATTGCAACTTGCTGCGTATAGTTTGCTCTGTGTAATTCCATGCTCTCTGGGACTGCTTTTTCCATTTATGCATGAAGCAGCTCATCTGTTACTTTGCTGCTAAAGGGACTTCTGGCAGGTCAGATCTCAAATGGGTTCTAAACCAGAGTCTTGTAGGAAAAACAGATCTCTTGGCTTCTTGGGAGCTGTCAAGCCATGGAAACGTGCCTGATCCCACAGTAGAGTGCACTTCTTCAGCTGATGGTAAAAAGCGCTACAACTGAGGACAATGACTGTTACTTAACTTATTTTTTATAGTGTCTTGGTGATTGGGCTTTGTTTTTTCTCATCATTGTCACTCACTGCAATTGTCTTCTAATGTGTTACAGAACAAGAGCAAATGCCTGGAGAAAGTCCATGTTGTTCTTGGGAATAAATCCTGCGATTTGGATTCACTCATTTCTACTCTGGCCTATGCCTACTTTCTAGACAAGGTAATGGAAAAAATGGACTGAGTGGTCTTAACTTATTTGTACCAGGTTGTTACAGACGTCTTATTGTTGATTAAAACATACTGTAAAAAAATTAATCTGGAGTGATTTTGGTATAAGCAGTGGTAAGGTTTTTAAATAATGTACATTTCTTTCCATACAAAAATTAATGAGTGGATATTAGGTGACATGTTAAGTAGCATTCACTAATCACCCCTGTACATCATTCTTTCTCCTTTCTGGTTTCCCAGTGATTCTGTAGGAGGCAAACAGAGACAGAACACAAGGTAAAAAAAAAAGGAAAACCACATTTTTAAAAAATGAAGTAAAGGGGGGAAAACCGAACAGAAAATTCAGACTGTTTCTAGTTACTCACACTGTTAAAACATGTTCCTAATAAAAAACAGATCTCATTTTATTCAACAATGACAAACACACACCTATGTTACAGGTTAGTCCTCCTGATGTTCTTTGCCTACCCGTGTTGAACATACCAAGAAGAGATTTTAGCTACTTCACAGAGACAAGATTTATATTGGAGGAGCTGAATATCCCGGAGTCATTCCATATCTTCCGAGATGAAATCAATTTGCACCAGCTGAATGCTGAAGGGAAATTGTCTTTAACACTTGTAAACAGCAACATGCTGACAAGGTATTGCATTGTATGTACAACAAGATGGCTTATGCGGATTTGAGCTGTTTTAAAAATTGTATTTTACATCTTTTCTCCAGTAATATTGGTATTGCTATGCTAACACAGACAAGAAAGGAGAAAAAAGAAGTTAAAATGCGTTTGCTCTCCCCTTATATCTCCAGTAAGTGTAACAAACTGAATAGTCATCTTTCCGTCATTTTTAAAAGAAACTTTATTTTTTAGGACCTTGTCTTTTCACACAGATTAGATTGGATATTTTAATTTAGTTTAAATTATGTGGAAGTTTCCTCTGACCAGTAAATAAGAGATCAGATTTCTTGCTGCTTCTTAGCTTTCACTAAAGGCATTAGGATTCTCACATTGATTTGGCGATCGCCAGCATATTTGCATATGTGCTGTTAAGATGGCTGCTGGATAACTGCAGTCCTCACAAACTTCATCATTTCTCTCAAAATGTCTTCAGTGCCAGAGGCTCACAGTTGCTCTGTGGAAGACCACAGTCCATATATCCATCCTTAAGAGGGAATATTTAGAAGCCTGTAGTGAATCTTTTATAGGGAGCTTCTTTATAATGGTCTGCCTGTTTTGCCCAGAGTGAAGGATGCTGTTTACTTCCAACTCCCTTTAGAACTTCATTTAAGATAAGTAACATCCTGTTGTGCTATGGCCCCATCCTATGGAGGCGTTTGTAGATTAGAATAAAAGTAGGGAAAATCTAAAATGAGAAATAGCGTAAATCTCTTAGCTATTGATTCTTTAACTGCAGTCAGATCAGTACATCATTCTCTTTTTCAAAGTAAAAATTATCCATAAGATTAGTTTTTTTTTCACTGCTGTCCCTTCCTGTGTTTCTTCCTTCTAAAGAATTATGACTAACGTTTTGCATTATTAAATATAGTTTGGCTTTGTTATTACTATTACAAACAGAAACATAAAATGCAAAGACTTTTTGTAAGTCTTCATAATGTTCAATGCAGAAAATTTCAAATCTCCCCTATATAAAGAGTGATAATTTTAGTACATGTAGATTATTTTTTTCAAATTAATTTTTTAATGTTTTTATAATGGAAATGTTAGTATTTGTGTCTTAGTGATGTATCAAGCAATAAAACCGCTGTGAACAATTCATTTAAAAAATTACAGGTTTAGGACTTCATTGTTACGTTGTTTGGCTTTACAGCAGACTTCAAGTAGCAGTAACAATAGTGTTATAATCTAGAATTAAAAAAAAAATTGCACTTTTTTAATGGATTGTCTAAGCATCTAGAAAGAAAAATATATATATAACTTTTAAATTTGCTTGATAGTGAGGATAAAAGTTTGGAATCAGCTGTTGTCAAAGTCATCAATCCAGATGAGCAATGTGGTGTCAGCCTGGAGTTACAAGCGTCTTCTTCCTCTGTAGTAGTAAAAGAGATTCTTCAAGAGGCACCAGAGTTAATCACTCAGCAACTGGCTTATCTCCTCAGAGGTGAGAGATTACTCTTTATATTAAATACTGAAAGGTTTAATGGAGTGTTTCTGAATCTGCTCATGATCCATTCTTTGGTTAACAATCCCTTTAAAGACCACAGGAAGCTTCATAAAAGAAGCAGGGAGTAAAGAGTTTGTTAAAGAGTAACATTATATTGAATATTAAAAATGTGCATTTAAAAATAGGCATGAGAGGCCTTTGCTGTATCACTAGACAAGAATATTAAATGGAGCTGTCGACATACCAGCTGGGTAGCTGGAAAAGCTGTGCAGTTCGTAGATTCCAGGGACACTGTGGACAACAATATGGATTGGAATCTAATATTTACACGTTAAAGCTCCCGATGGCAGTAGAATGATATTTTAACGGCATGATATGAAACTTCTACTGTTTAAAAATGCTGTAACCAAATCCTCATTGTGCTCTCCTTTTCTTTTGTATTGTATGCCTGGTAGAGTACAGGAGGGGGCTTCAGCTGTCAGAAGTATTTTCATTTCTGTCTTCATAGTTCATCATTTGTATTAGTTTCCTCAATTTCTTTGCTGGAGCAGAACTTTTCAGTTGAAAATAAAATGGGTTGAAAAGAACTGGTTCGCTGCTTTTAAGTTATTTACTGAATTTTAATAATGTTCCATGAATTTTTAAAGTTTTGGGTTTTAATTGACATGCAACTGTTAAGTAGCCTTTTAGGAAATCAATGTGGGCATGTTTAATGAAGGTTATGAAAACTTGTGTGCATTAAGATTTCAGAAGCTATTGGAGTCTTGGCTTGTCATTGTACTCATCACCCTAATAACTAAATAATGAACATGTTATGAGAAATTTAAAACATATTTTTTTGTTTTGTTTTCATAGAAGAACCATTAACAGTAACACAGTATTTGGCCTGCTCTTTTAGTATCTTTCCATGCTAATAAGCCCTGGTAAACCTGCCATGAAATATTATTGTAAGCTCCAAATTTCTGTTGAGTAGCTACCCAGGAATCTAGGTAAATGACCAAGCATAGTAATTCATTTTGGAGGCAGAACCAAAAAAGGCTGTTGGGGATCTCTCAGGGTATTTGGTGGTGGAAAGAGGCAGGAGGCAGTGCTCTGAATAATGAACAAGAATATGTTCAACTGTTACACATTGGTGTAAATGTCTGCATGTTTTTGCTCTCTAGTCTGTATCCAAATCAAAATAGTGTTTTTATTAGAGAAATATTGAAAGTGTTTGCATAAAAGAGATACCACTTCCAGTTTTGGGGAAGATAGTAGCTTTTTTTTTTTTTTTTAATTTCCAACTTAATTTTAATTAGTGTGTTTGGTAGCATGTATCTGAGGAACTTACTGGATATAGGAGCGCCTGCATACCTTCTCGTGCATTGTATGAGAAGTAGTTGAGAAAGCCTAAACAACAAAACACAGCTGCACTTGTGACTTGATGCTTTTCTACTTCTCCCAGCCATGCAGTTTGTATATATAGAAGGCTAAGCAATACAGTGAGTCCTGTTGTGGATCTGTTAAATTAGAAGAGGTTTTTGGTGCTTGAGAACCTTCTGTTGCAAAGTCAAAAAAGTCAGTGAATCCCATTACTGGTTTTGATAAGGTGAAATAAAAATCTTATGTATAAATGCATGTAGATGGCAGATCAAACTATAGGCAGCCTGAAAATAAAAGATGAAATACAACCTACCAAGTCAGGCATTGGAAAAAGCTTTCCATGGAAGTGGTGGAATTACCATCCCTGGAATTGTTCAAAAACCACGTAGATGAGGCCCTTAGTGACATTGTGTCGTGGTGGACTTGGCAGTGCTGGGATAATGGTGAGACTTGATGATCTTAAAGGTCGTTCCCAACCTAGTTGAGTCTGTCATTCTATGAAGTCTAGCTTTTGTGTTTCTCTGTATGTGTTATGGCCTTTTTTCAAACTCCTTGCCCATAAAGTACAGCTTTTGAAATTCATGTCAGTGTGAGCACAGGAAATAGAGGGACTACATGTCATGGTTTGAAGGGAGGGGTGGCTGCTTCATTCTCACTATCAGTGAATGCGTGTGTGGAGGCTCACAGGGTGGACCCTCTCTCTGGTGGCACCTCATGGTGTAGAACCAGTGAAAAAGTCCTACTGGGTTTTTTGCACTTTTTAATGTCACTTCAAGTGTAGATCTGTATATTATTGACATGTATAAATTTAGGGCCAAAGAACCAGAGGCCAAAGTGGAAGTCAAAGAACTAGGATTCTATTTTCATAAAAGAGCTGAGAGATCTTAACATCTGAGTCTCTGAGCTGGGAACTTGTCTTTCATTTCTGGCTTTCCAGTGAGTGCTTTGCTAGAAGACTTGAAAGATAATACAGGTATCTCATATTTTATTAATTATTGTGTAGTGGCTGTGACAGCTTCATTTGTTGCCTCTTTTTCATACTTATTTTTGCTCACAGTCTGTTAGCATTTTTTTTAATCTTAATAACAAAGGCAGATGTTTATAATCTGCCATATTTCAACTTTGAACAAACTTCACCTGCTCTTCTGTGTTTAAAAAAAAAAAAGTCAAGAGAAATGGCTTTTCCTGTGAAACTGAGCATTATTGATTTAGGCAGTTTAATAATTAAGGACTTTTTTTCAGCTGAATGCTTTCCTGGTATCTTTGTCTCCCCGTTAGACATGCTATAAGTTAATTCTACCCTTGGGCTTTGAATAGAGCTTGCTTGGAGAGTGAGAGTATTGTACAGCCATATTTGCCTTAAGTTAGAGCTTGTGCTGTCCCTGGATTTGTGCCAGCAGCAAACAATTATAGAACCTGCCAGAGTCTTGGGCCTGTATTATTTTATTTCCCCAGAGATGTTTACAAGGGGACTGTTGCCAAACTCAAGATCCATTAAACTGCTGAATCATTACATTTTCTGTTGCAGCCAGCTGGCAAGGATGCGATTCCAGGCACTCGCTGTCAGGTACCTTGGGTCAGTGCACTCTCAGAAATGCCTCTGTATGTTTATTTGTATAAGGCCTTGAAGGATGCCACAAGGTGCAGCCTGCAACATGTAAATAGAGACAGATTTACATCAAGAGCATCAGCATTTTTTTTTTTTAATGTGAATCTGCTTTTGCTGTTTATGGGCTGCATAGCTGAGGTCTTTTTGTGCTCTGTTAGGGCAGTCTGACTTTCAGTAGAGATTTGTTTGTTATTCGAGCCACCCAGACAAGTGTTAAGAAATGACCTTTTAAGGACTTCAGAAATTATGCCCCCCCCCTTTTTTTTTTTTAAATTTTCCTCTATCTTGTACATCGATCAGATGATTCACATGTTCCCTAATTAATGTATTCTTAATATATATGCCAGACAGCAAGGATCATTTTGAACTGCACCAGACACTGGACTTATTTGGACTGATCCTTTTGTTGTTATGTTTGAAAGTTTCTTGGAGGCAATGCTTCTTTCCTCCTCCCTTTTCACCCCCAAATTACATTTTATTCTGGCTTTGTAGCTTTCCTGTTAATTACAATGAAGACTGCTTTCTTGGGTCTGTGTTACAGTTTTGGTTTTTGGGGTTCTTTAGGGGGGTGGAAAGTGTTGAAGTACAATTTCTGTAAGATATTGTTGTTTTTCCTCTTTTCCCTGTCCTTATTTTTGTAGGTCATGTAGTAAAACCTCGGCAGGAGAAATGCCTATATTTTCATTGTACTGTTTCTCTCAGCCATAAACTTGTAATTCAGGAGATGCTTGTGCTGTTCTTAATGTTTTCCCAAAATGACTTCTGCCTTCATTAGATCATGTTTAATATTAATGCACAGCAATTGCTTTTGGCAAAACTAGTGCCCCACTTCCAAACTGCTTTGCAAAAAAGAATAAAATACACTTTTTTAATCTTTTTAAGAGTCCTAGCCTATTTTCTAGTGACCTCTCCTTCAGAAAAAAAATTATCTGTAATGTAGTATGATATACACAAGAAATAATATTGAATCTTTTACTACCTATTATATGTTTCTTTTTTCTGTGCTTGTCAGCAGACAGAGGAACCTCCATTATGCTTTCAGAAAGCCTCGGGGAGTTGCACCAGCAGTCAGTGAAATCTGCAGGAGATTTCTGAGCCCATGTATCTCTTTTAGAGTGAATACTTAGAAGAGAACACATGACTAAATGGACTACTGACCTTTGGCCAAGCAAAAATATCTTGAGTGAACTGGTTTTCTGAAGTACCCGGAATCTTAACCCTCACAGGGATGCTGGGGGTGGTTGGGAGAGAAGACATATGTACCCTTCTTTCCTGCTTATAAGCGGAATATTAAAGAATGAAGGAGGAATAAATGTTGATGTTATGGTTTGTCGACACCCTGTTAACTTGAGAAGGATCCTTTTCTTGCTTTCATCCTAGTAGAAAAGTTAGCAATTGCAGGCACTGCAGTGCTGCTGTGACAAGTGGGAAAAACAGCCTTTTACAAACCTTTCTAAGATGTCTGCCCATGACGAGGCATTATTTCAGGTTGACTGCATTCCATTCTAGTATTAAGTGATAAATTCCAAATTTCAAAGTTTGCTTAGGATCAAAATATGCAAAAGAATTGACCCTGAGGTTAACAGAGCAGTGAAAAGTAAAGGCATCCGGTTAGATGCTGTTTTACAGTGCATGTCTAGACACATTCTGATTTTACAGCTTCACAGTAATGTCTGTGTCCTGCCAAAGGTGAGATCAAATCCAAGACAGCCTTACCATTGTAGAAACCCAGAATTTGTTGCACATGTGAAAGTAAGAGACAAATACCCACTGGTACCTGTAGAAGTACATGGTAGGAAGCCACAGTATATCCTAGGCAATCTTTCAAGCCCTTTTGATTGGGGAACAGATAAATTATGTGAAAGTTTCCTTCCACCAATCCATGTGTTTAGGATAATTAAGCTAGTTTCATTGGCATGAGCAGTGTTACTGCTGAAACACTGTAGTAGAACGGCTTTAGTATGAAAGAGATCTATCTGTTATTTTAGCAGACAGATACTTATGATGATTTTTGGTGCTGCCTAGCTGTTGCACTTTAGGCATTTGTAAAAATCACATCCAGATACTGACGTGGCTGCTAGAACTTGTCTTGGTGTAACCACAGCTTTCTACTGCCAGTTCTCCTATTTCCTGTAATTGGAGAAATGTGAGACACTTCCTTTCTTTGTTCAACTCCTTTCCTGTCTTGCCTTCTAATATGCTTTTGCTTGGCTGTAGAAGACCCTGACACCAAACCCACTACATAGGAGTTATTTCTGTATAACTAGACAACGAAGCTCTTGTCATGTTGACTTCAAAACTAATGAGCTTGATATGGTATACAACTCACACCTCTTGTTTTACTACGTTTCCCAGCATGTTTATGTTAAGATTTTCTCTTCTTGGTCTTCTCCAAATACTCTCCCTGCTGAGGCTTGCAGACCTATGGTAGAAGTTTGGCACATTGTGTGTCGGAGGACCTGTGCAGATGGACAGACTGCTTAGCTCATCCTAGTGCTGGTGGGAGGCTGAATGAGATATGCAACAACCTCCCTCCAGTAGATAATTGTATGATGAATCTGAGCATGCACTGTAGCTCCAGTACTTTCTGCTGTAGTCTCCATTTCCTTTGTGTGTGTATGAGCAATTTCCCTGTCTGCTGCTGGAGAGAGGAAAAAATGGGTGCTGAAAAAGCAGATTGCTGCTGTAAAAATAATTCATGCAACCTGGTCCCTGAGCTGCCATTTATCCAGGTGCAGCTCTGTGCTGGCTGGGAGTGTGCTGTGGGCCTTCTAACTCATTCTGGTCACTGCCCTTCTCAAGGTATGGCCAAGAATATGTAGCACAGGCCCTGTTAAATCTCGTTAGAGGTGGGAACAATGAAGGGGTATTGCTAGATGATCTGTCCTGAAGGCTGTTGATTGAGAAACTTGCTTCATAGAAAAGGAACTGAAAAATAGGCTTTGCTAACATATATAGGTATCTTGGGCGCTTTATGTATCACTTATTTGCCTGTAGACTTATGGAGCCATGTTTTGTGTACGTGAATTTACAGATGTCAGTCTGAATCAGTATACATGATTTTCAGGCAGTCTTTATTTCTTTAATATTTTTAATACTATCAAATAGGGCAGGAGTATTGTCTTAGCATCATCATAAGAATGACATAAAAAGATGCTGAGAATTTAAAGAATTATTGGCAGTTACAGTATCTGTAACAGATACAAGGAATAGAATTTTAAGTATGTGAATTTCCAGAAATTAATATCTGGTGGGGAACAGCTTTAAGCATTACTTATTATTTAATCCACGCAGGATTTGTCTAATAAAGAGGCATGTACTTAGCATGGCAAAATTAGTTTGTGTTGCAAGTGTCTTACGAAATGCTTTTCATTATTTTTGTCATGACAGTGTAGAAGAAAAATGGATATGTACCAGATGTTTGGGTCTTAGTCAGTTTAGTGAGATTGAGGGTGGCTGTGTCCAAGTTCTTCTTTTCCTTTCTTGGCTCTGTGCTAAAGCCTAAAAATTTTGGGTTACAATAGCTATCTTACACTATTGCACTGATTTGCTCATTGACCTAGCATGATGCAATGCAATCATAGACTTGTTGGAAATCCCTGTGCACAATAGAGTAATAAATAATTTCAATGCTGAAGTATCAGATTTTATCCTTAATTTAGTGTGAGTGAATGGAAGCAAAGGCTATCTTTGGGTATATTAATAACTTGGATCCCAATCTCCAGGAAATGAAAAAGTGATTTTAAACCTTGAACCGTCAGGAATATTTCACATCCAGGATGGAATATATGCAACAAGTAGTTGATTGAAAAGCCATCAAACTTACCTGTGTATTGTAAGAACACATCAATTATGATTAATTGGATTATGTTTCTCATAAATTTTAAAATATAATGCATTATGGGGTTTTTTTGCCTGAGTGTGCTGTGCTTTTTTGGTATGTTCATTGATGAGGAATTAGGCAGGGTCAGTTACAACTGAATAACCAATGACTTTAAGATGATTTAGTTGAACCCTGCCACCATGTGCAGGGACACCTTTCACTAGACCAGGTTGCTCAAAGCCCCATCCAACCTGGCCTTGAACACTGCCAGGGATGGGGCACCCACATATCTGGGCAACCTGTTCCAGTGTCTTGCTACCCTCATAGTAAAGAGTTTCTTCCTTATATCCATTGTAGCAGTTCATTAACGCATCTGTAGAAGGAAGGTTGACAGTGTAGTTTTACTGTTCCCAAGCATACCAACACTGGTCCAATGCTTAGAGAGAGGAACAAGGAACAAGCCTTGGTGTCCCACTGCTCACTGGTGGCCATGCCGCAGAGCTCTGCTGGACATACAGAAGCATATTGCACACTGTGGCAGCAGTGGGACTGGCCAGTTGGCTGTAAGCATAGGCTCTGACAAGCCATCCAGGTCAGATTTTAGAAACTGCCTTCATGTTAGAAGGATGTTTCTGTGTGCAAAGCATTCAATATATCATTCAGTGAACTTGTCAGTGGAAATGACCGCCAAGAAGGAAAAGTCTTGGATGGCAATACAATAAACATTCTTGTTTCTGGAGTACCTCTTTGCTGTTTAGAGGAGACATTGATTTTTGTATTTCAATGTTTCAGGGAGCATTCTCTTCAAATGCATGTCTTTGGAGGCTGACAGAATTACAGAGCAACAGGAGAAAGTACTGTCAATCCTAGAGGAAAAGTTTCCAGATCTTCCCCCACGAGAGGAAATTATCTCTGTTCTCCAGGAGACTCAGTTTAACCCACAAGGTAGTGCAGCTTGCTTTCATTTTTCTGACCTTTTACAAATTTAGTTATGTAACTGTATCAGAATATATTGGCTCATTGTGTGGTGAAAATAGTTGCAGCATACTATCTTCACTGGCAGTTACATGTATTGTATTTAATTTTAAATTAAGTGGCTTACATTCTGAATCATGTATTGTGATTTCTGTTGAGGAATCACTGAACTCCTAAATAATTTTTTGTTGTTTTTACACACAAAGGAAACATTGATTTATTTCATATATTGCTTGTACAACAACTCTAGTCAACAATTTGAGTTGATGAAGTATAGGGGCATAAAACAATATGTCAGCCTGTATGTAGAAGTTGTGCTGCTATTGTCTACATGCTGTGGGAGTGTATCTTCTGAATCTTCTCAGGTTTATCGAGGGCTGTGTATAGGTGAAGTGAATTTGACTTCAGACTAAGATGAAGGAAGCAGTGGGAAACTTGCAATTCTTTCATTTTCTTCTGCTAGAAATAGCTGAACACTGTTGTCACTTTTTCAGTGCTAAAAAGTGGGAATGTTTGAACTCAAATTTTGGTAGCAGGCTTTTGAAGGGATGCTCTGAAAGCCTGAAAATATGAACTCAAATTTTTTACTTTGTTAAATGGCATTTGCTATGTAGTTTTTACCAAGGAGTGGGAATTTGATTACCAAGATACTTACTTGTTGAGTATATCAAGTATGTACAGAGTCCATGCAGTCTCATAGTCTTTTTTTACCTTTCTCTATGCACCCATCTGCAGAATTCTCTCATCTGGATTCAGGCTGTCAGCCTGAGATGGCTGTCATAGCTGGTAGTTACAGAAAGAATTTGAGGTGTGCTGCTTCCTTTGCTCTCTCTTTCAGTGAGTTTGAAATTTAAATTATTTCAGGGCTATAAACCTTCACATAGTTTCCTGAAGTTCCTCCAGACATTAGTCAAGGAGTCATAGTTCAGAAGTGAACTGAATGCAGTCTGGATTGGAGAGATCAAATGAATCTTTTATGGAACTCAGTTCTGCCAGTTGCCTGGGAAGATGGTTTGGTAATGTTTGTCTTGTACTTGGCCCTAGAAGTTTACCCTAATATCCAATGCAAAACTTGGACCAGTAGATATAATGGATTCAGTCTGCATGACATTGGTTGCCAGTAATTTTTATATACTACATAAGGAGAACAATGTCATACACTCTTTGTCTCAAAGCTGCTGTTTGCTCTGTATCATAAGGTACATATTTAGCACTGCACACATTCATGTAGCATTATGATTAGTAAGATGCTGTTTTTTTTCTGGAGTCCTTTGAAGGCTCTGACCTCTACTGGATATTTTACGTTGTATACACCTGTTACTTCGGTCAGTATCAGGGCAATTCAACATAGAAGTTCTCAGTTTCATGCAGAAATACTAGTTTATTGGCCTGAACTAATGAATCTGTTTGTTCTTAGAAGTACAGAGGCCTGTAGTCCACCAGGTGGCCTGTAAATATTTTTGAGAGGACATATGCATAAATATAGTAAATATGTGAACATGAACCAGTTCATTTTGTCATTACATTGAATGCAGTAGCTGGACTCCATACAGGAAAAGTAAGGATTCAGTTCTTGGCTGAAGTTGGTGTTTGACTCCCTCTTAAAAATCAACCATGCAAACACATTTTGAATGTTATACTGCTGAGCTTTAGAAGACTGTGGACATTTTATTTGCCATCCTACACTGAAATAAGTGGCTTACAGCTTTCTTTATACTGATATTTGGCTATCAGGTCTGTATTTCTGATCATGTGATATGATCATGTTCCTATACACAGATACATATCTGTTTTGAGACTGTTTATAGCCTTTTAGACAGACAACTCCTGTTAGAGACATGTAGTCTTTAGGATTTTCAGTACATTGTACATAAACGTATCAACATGCCTAGTTGCAAAGTGAACCAATACCAGTTTCACATTGTGGTTTCTGATGATAATATATACTTCTGTTTCTGTGGTACATAAATATCTGGTTAGTTCATTTGCCATTTGATGTACATGAGAGAAACCTATTGTGGTTGGTTCCAGTTTGCGAGGAAGATCAGAAAGGTTAAATGACTTTCTGTTTACATAGTATCTTAAATGCTTTGCTTCTGAATATTTTATAAATACCACAGTATTCCACATGTGCTTTTCAAAATATTACTCATTCCAGAAGTGTTTTATGTTAGTGATTTCCTATTAGACCATAGCAATAGTCTGTGTACACATTTATCATCACTGGAATTCAGTTCTTTTAAAAAGTGAGTGTTCACGCAGCTTCATTGCAGACTTAATTCTTCATCTTTTGCTCCCCTATCCCTTACCCCCATCTGCAAAATCTCTTCCTTGTTTAAAAAAATCCTTTAGAAATATTAAACATCAAAATATTCATGTTGGTTTTAATTTTCTCATAGAATGTCCTAAAATACATAAGGCTCATCATTAAGGTCTGAGCATGTTTTTAATATATGTTGCTGCATTTTTCAGATGTAGATACTTGTATGTACTGAAATTCCTTTATCTTCTGAAACAGGTGTAAGTATTGAGGACATTATGCTGAAGGATCTCAAGATTTCAGATGGAGAAATCAAAGTAGCAATTAGCACTGTGTACTTGACACTGGAGGTAAGAGGAAACCTAAACAAAATGGTTCACTAACAGCTCTATAGCATACAGAGATGGTCCTTTAACAAAGATTTTGAGCCGATTATTTTCTCGAGATTATACATGAGCAGAATTTAATTTTCAGTGATTTAATTAACTTTGGGAGAAGCAGTAGCTGTTTGTAGTCTGACTTACATGATTATGCATCTGATTATTCCTTGCTGTTAGTCTGAACAACGGTGTGTTAAAACAATGGCATCAGTAAATTGCAGCCTTTGAGTAAGTTGAAGGTGTGAGCTTTCTGTTGAACTTAATCTACGTAGTTACTAGCTGGGACTTTGTCCCACTTTTCACTTACAATATGGCATAAAATTTATAAAGCCAGTTTAATACTCTCAGCTTTTTGAGAGCAGGGGATATTCTTTCATGCCTTCTTTAAACTTATCTTGAAGTGTGTCCATTGCCACATTGCCTAAATGAAAATGTTGGTAGAAACAAAAGGACCTCGATAGAGCAGAAGTTCCTAGAATTTTGATAGTTTGGATCAAACCTGTAGATTGTCTTTATAAGCCTGAAAATGGCTGCTCGGGTTTTCTTTCTTGATTGATCTGAAACATTTTGCAGTCGCTTAGTCAAACTCTTGGGTACTGTGTTTATCACTATATCAAGATGATTTGTGTCATGGATGTCAGTAGCTATTCACCTTGACCTGAAGTACATTTAACTGTTACTGGCTGTTATGTAGAAGTATTAATTTAAAAATATTAATATTTAGATCACTGATCAAGTTTGACATGGCAGTATTATTTCTGATGGAAGTTTGCGTACTAATACACAGTTTAATAATAAAACTAGCTAGACTGAGGAAAATCTGAACAACAGAGACATTTTTACGTAGTATATATTTGCAGTGTACATTCTTAGCAAGTCCCTGAGGGTCATGATGTGGGTATGCCAAAAAATATTTGACATACAAAAGAAATTGTCATCTTCTACTTTTGCATTTTGCTTCAACCAAAACTTTATTTTACCTCAAGTGGGACTAAAAAAAAAAAAATTAAAAAAAAAAAAAAAAAGAATCGCTTGAATAGTTCTTCCCTGTGTATATCCTGTGAGATTTCTTACAACATGTGTTTTGTGCTGGATTTTACGAAAAGTGTGGTGCTTCTGTAGTTGAAGAGCTTGTGGTGCAGTCAAGCTAATAATTATCCACGTATTTCTGCTTTCATAGTAAAATACACAAACAAAATTGGGTAGCAAAGCTTCAAGAAGTGAATCAGAATCCGCTGTTTTCTTGGTTAGTTTCTCAGTGTCAAGCAGTCTTTACCAGCCACCAAACCTATGAACTCTAATTTTTACTCCTGAAAATTATGCCAAGGTTGGGAGGAAAGGGGATAGGGAAAG